CCCACATATTTATGTACGCCGTCCTACGCTGTTAGGGCGAACACGGCATCGGCGCTTTTTATCAGGGGGGGTTACCGTAAAATACCAAGCAAGCGTCCACTCAGAATTTGAAGATAACCGCGAAAAAATAGGGGATGTGAGGACATGAATTTTACATATACAGTCTAAGCTTATTATAACAGACCTTGATTTTGACAAAGATTTCGATCTGTTGTAAAAGGAGTATGTATGCTGTATGCAGATATGAAGTTGAGTCAATGGCATGTAAAAGAAAACAAACCGTACCTCACAAATTGGTATGTTACATCCAAATGTCTGTTATAACCAGGTCTGTTGTAATGAGCTTAGACTCTATATGTACTGTGCATATTTTTTCAGATGTTCTGAATTTTGGGGCGTGGGCACTTAGTGCGGAATGGGTGGATGCACGGTATTCTACTGAAGGTGCCAAAGCAATAAAGTCCAATTCGAAAACCAAAAAAGTCATCAGGAACTATGTTTTAACGCTGGGTCAGTACCTACCTGTGCAGGCAGACGATCAAAATAAATTAAAGCCAAGTAATGAGTGTGATTTGCAATAAAAAAACATTAATTTATTCACTCTGCTGCTCATGTAAGAATGCAAAGGTAGGTTTGTACTAGCCTTCAAAACCCGTATCTACATGCTCTAAAACTTTTAAAATGAGGAAAAGCCAGAAAACTCTTACTGCCCAATGAATTTTGCACAAAAATAAAAATAAAAAAACTTTATAGCGGGCATACCTTTACTGTGTTACCCTATTCTAACCACTTGCCTGGATTCACCACTTGTCTTTACACGCTTGCCGTGGAACATGGGACTGAACCCGGAATACTGGGAACTTAAGCATCCATCACTGATCAGAAAAATACTGTACCTAAAGCAAGTTCACTTTTATAATGTTAATAAAGTTACCAAACATTCACTACGACCTAATTAGCAAAGGTAATTGCCGTTATTCTCCGGCAAAGATACAAAATGCATGTGTGTTTTCCCATACCAAAGCACATGAGCACTGCAAAAGTGGACTGCTTGTTGTCTGCTTCAATTTGAAACTGGAAGTCCCACAGGCACTAGCACCAGTTGAACTTTTCGCATACTTTATAATAACTCCACGCATGGAACCCTTCACAAAGTTATATAATTAATAAAATTGAATCAATACAAAAGAGGGTGGCGAGATCTTTTTTAAAAAATGCTCTCGTCACTCGTTCATTCCTCGATTTTTTTTTTTTCACTGTAAACTTCCACCACCTCTTTGCAACTCGCAGTCAAAAAAAAAAGCTCCGTAACATTTACTACAAAAAACTGCACCTTTGCATAATTATGATGTTGTGGTTTTAAATCTAGTGATATATTTAAACAACAGAGAAATATTATACTGGCACGAAAAAGCGCTCATCACTGCCCGAGAAACTCAGTCGGAACTTCGTAGGGAAAATGTGCGAACGCTGGCACGCTGAAAAGAAAACGCGCGCACCATCGTCGCCATTTTTTCTTTCTTCGCTCGTTCAGAAGACTGCGTCGGACGAAAATGCCATTGCAAGCTCGCCGCCAGTACAGCGCGTTGTTCAAACGAAAAATCATCCTCTTCGCCAAAGCGGAAAACAACGTAGCAGCTGAGCGGCACTTCGGCGTCTCTGAAAAGTGTGTTAGAGGATGGTGGCGACAATGCGATCAAATCTTCGCATGCTCGGGTACGCGACGCTCCTTTCATGGGCCCAAGCAGGGACAGTATCCTGCCATTGAAGACGCTGTCCGAAAGTGGGTTGTTGACCAACGAAGCAAAAGCCTCAGTGTTTCGTATGAAGAATATTGAGTGCAAGGCACGTGAAGTTGCTACGGAACAGAACATTGCGCGCACCATGTTTAAGATATCGAAGAGGTGGGTGACCAACTTCATGAAGCGCAGGGGGCTAAGCCTGAGAAGGCGAACGACTGTGTGCCAGAAGCTGCCCGATGCCTACAAGGAAAAGCTGCAGGAGTTCCATCGCTACGTTGATGACCTCCGAACGCGGAACAGCTTCATGCTCGGCCAGATCGGCAACGCCGATCAGACGCCGGTTTGGTTCGACATGCCGAGCAGAAGAACCGTCGCAGAAAAGGGTTGTCGCCGGGTGAATTTGCTAACGACGGGGAACGAACACAATCACTTTACTGCGATGTTGTGCTACACGGCCGATGGCCACAAGCTGCCCCCGTACCTGGTGTTTAAGGGGGGACATGGCCTCGGAATTCAAAATTTTCAGAAAAAAACGTTTTTTTCAAAAATGATATGTTTACGCTTATTAACTTCCAAAGAATGGTTTCAGAAACTTTCATTTAAAAACATGCAGGATTTATCTCAGAATAAATTATTTTCGACATGTCGGCAGCCCTCCAAGTCAGCAGGAACCAAGTTTTTTGTGTTTTTTATTTAGCACTGCTTCATACTCGTTTAACCTAGCCAGAACATCTCACCCTCATTGGAAGTGCCATTTACTCTAGATCTAGCTCGTAGAAGCTTTCGAAGTTTACAAGTATCAAGGGCCAGGGGGACCCAATACATCCAAAAAGAAAAAATCCTGAAAATTTGGTATGAGCAATTTTATTGGTTGACACCTGAAACAGGGTTTATGGTTGGTCCCTCCCGGTGACGTCATATTTTGTCGTCGTCATTAACGCCCCTTTACAGTACCTTCCACTTCAGATCCTATTCCTGCTTTGCTGCTCTTTCTCAGTGTGATTTGCCTCTTAGTTCCTGTCAGCTTATCTGTCAGGGAATGCCTGCTACAAAAGTTAGCATGCCTACAAACAACACAAACTGGTAGCTATTGCCAGGGGAACAACAGATGCTCAAAGACGAAGGTGCTAACAATGCTCCAGGTGAATTTTGCCTACCTCGGACTCATAAAAAATAAAGAAACCTAAAGTTGAAACTTCAAATGCATTTTTCTCAGTTTCACTTTTTGGCAGGAAATGTGGTATGAGGAAATGTATCATTGGACATTTTGAAAGTGTAAAGATTTCATTCAGTGTTGTCCTTGACTCAAATTTCCTGAGGAACAAGTTAAGGTACTCATAATCTGAAAATGCTAAATTCTTCATGACAAAAACTGAATATTTTAAAACTCACAAATTTGTTAAAATCGTTCGCTCTTTTTGGGTGTTTTTGTTTTTCTCTAGAATCACATTTTCTACAGTTAATTTTTACCTTAACTTGCACTATGGGTATTCTACTTAACATTAAACTAAACATTTTGTGGATTTCAATTATTATTTTTCTTAAATACATTTCCTAATAAAGTAACTTTTTTCTGGAGCTTGCTAAGCATAGTATGAAGTAGAATTGGCCTATAAGGCTGAAACTTTAGATGTCATCAATCCTAATGGGGTTCAATTCACCCTGAAAGTTTGAATCACTTTGAGACAATGGTTCAAAAGTTGACCCTCCCAGGCCATGTCCCCCCTTAAGCGGAAAACGATGCCGAAAAACGAACAGTATCCGCCGAGGGTGATCGTTCGCGTCAACGAGAAAGGTTTTTTCAATAAGGAGACCATCTTGGGAGTGGTTTCGGCTCGTCTGGTGTAGGCGTCCGGGTGCCCTCTTAAAGCCCCGGAGCATGCTCGTCCTGGATTCTTTCCGTGGAAACATTACGGACCGTGTCAAGAAGATGATCACCAACGAAGGATGTGATTTGGTCATCATCTTGGGGGGGTTGACATCCGTCGTTCAACCCCTTGGAGTGGTTCTTAACAAGCCCTTCAAGGACCGCGCCGGGGCCTTCTACAACGAGTGCATGGCCCAGGAGGACAACCCCAAGACGCCGACAGGTCGTGTGAAGCGTGCCTCGTTGAGCACTGTGGCCGTGCAGCATTCTCCAAGTGCGGAATTTCAACGCCGCTTCCCCCGTCCGGCCCCTCTGACCCACAAGGCAGCGACAGCAGTGACTGCGTCATCATCACGAGCGACGATGAGTGAGGCCCGAGCTCATAGGGAGACCTCATCTACCTCTATGTGAATAAATGTGATATTCCTTTGGCATAACTTGCATCTTCAAAAAAAAAAAAAAAAAAAAACTTTTTTCGGTTGGCGGTTGTCTAACATTAGGGGTGTCGACTTATATTCGGATTGTCTTATACGCGGCAAATAAAACGGTAGTTTGCATTATTTGTATATGTTAGTATTCTTCCCAAACTGTTGAACTTCCCTCCTAATGTGTGCTTTTTGGGGCTCTTATGAGGTAGAAATAAATTAAATGAAACGAGATGAAGCGTATGTTATTGAAGGAAGAAGCAGCGTTGCAAATGGTTCAGAGGGGACCGTGCTCCGGGATCAATCAAAAATAAAGCTGTAGACAAAGATTTGTGACTCGCGAAGCTAGGTTTTTGTTTATGATAATAATGCCTGGAGAAAGGGAACAAGGGGAAAAAAGGACAAACACACACCTGCATTGTCCCCCTTGTTCCCCTTCTCCAGGGATTATTACCCTCATTCTTGTCCAGCTCACTTGCACCTTTGCATTAATTGCATTATCACGGGTTTTTTTCTCGTTGGAAGACAGCTCAAATTCGGGGTTTTTCGGTTTTGTGCATTTTTGACGAAACTAGCTTGGGGGTTTAAGTTCCGGGGTCTAATTGGTACTTACCAAAAACAGGAAGCACCAAATAAAAGCGACCGTTTCTCGTAAACAGTGCGCAGATTTGATTTTGCCAAGAATGCAAGACCTTCAGTTCTAGAGCATGTAAACTGATGCTTTTAAGGAGATTTAGATGGCCCACAAAAATCGGCTTCTCAGCATATCCCGCTGCAATTTACCGCAGAGGTGCAAGCGGGTGGTGAAATTTTACAGGGAAAAAATCAAGGAATGAACTTACTTGGTTCAAAAGAAATAAACAAAAAAAAAACCCCGCTCTGGGCTATCCACACTGCCACTTCGCAGACGCTTGCAGACAAGACGGGACAGGCCAAAAGAGGAAGTACACACGAGGGACGGCTCACCCATGGACTGCAGCGTGAGGTAAAGCACAGGGGACACGCTCCTCTCCGCATACTCCTCGGCCTCCTCCAGGCTGGTGTGGGCCTTGTCAGATTCCCTCTGGGGAACAAACAGACAGGCAGCCGATGATGTCAGGGGGTTCACGGTGCCAAAGCTGCGAAGGTTATAGGCTCTGAACTGTAGGGTGGTTCAAGTCACCAGGCTCGATCTAAAATGGACCGTAAAAACCGACACCTGCACGTAGCCATCTAAACCTTTCGTCAAAGGTGTATTTCACAGGTCAGTTTTTTCTTGTAAAATTACAAAGCATAGTTCTCTTTTAGTAAAAAATAGGGCCAAGAAACTTGCCAGGGTCTGCGGCGGGCGGCGACCCAGACGAACAAGTCCAGTAGCGGGGTGTGTTTGGCGTTTGTATAGATAGACGGCGTTGGGAGCAGCGTCTGAAGGTGCAGCCGACAAGCGAAAGATAGCAGATGACACGCAGACAAAATCCGTTGGCAGCAAAAGCGTCGCCGTTATGCAGACGCATTTTTTTTACTTTAAGTTTTGCTTTTATTGTTCGCATTTGTTTTTTAACCGAAGGTACATTTCAAAAAGATTATATTCATTTTAATAAACCACGGTGGTCGCGAGCCGTTGTGATTAGAGTTCCTCTATATAGCTACCTACAGTAGCAGAGTTGCGCACTCAGCCTCGGCGAGTGGCCATAGCGCCGGCTTTCCCGCACGCGCTGGATACTTTGCTCCTCACGTGACTAAATTTGGCGAATAGCGGCGCCGCGAGCGCCGCCGCGCGTGGAAAACAGGAGAGGAGGAGGAGGAGGGCGAAAGCAGGGGAACATACGCCGGGGCGCAAGAAACGTCGACGGAGCGACCGTAAAGGTGGCTTTTATTTGCACGGCGTGGATGCTTTGCTCCTCACGTGATGGATCTCGGCGAATAGCGGCGTGGCGGCGCGGGGAAAACAAATGCGCAACTCTGCTCCCCCTTCGGGGGAGCATATCGAGGAACTCTAGTTGCGATAAGGTGGTAGCGCCATCTATCAATACGAATGTCAAACATACCTCGCTACTGGACCCCTGTCGTCTGCGTTGCTGCCTGCCGTAGACACTGGCAAGTTTCTTGGCATTATTTTTTAGAGAAAGAGAGCTACGCTTTGTAATTTTACAAGAAAAAACCGAACGGTGAAATACACCTGTGACGAAAAGGTTAGATAGCTACGTGCAGGCGTCATTTTTTACGGTCCATTTTAGATCGAGCCTGGTGACTTGGAACACCCTATAGATTAAAAACACACTGACAGGATATTTATGCTCACCGAGGGTTTTAGTTGTAGATGACATACGAGAGCCCAACTACCCAGAAAAGAATTTGCGGCTCGAAATTCGGTTTCTTTGGACTCGCAAACCGCCGATCGAGAATTAGCTGGTTTGAGTCACGCTCACTCTCTTTTCCGTTGTCACACGCATTTTCTAAGGTTTAGACACAACCACCAAATCTAATAAAACTTGTGGGTCATTGAAAGCACACACTCAATATTAAAATATATATATACAGTCAAACCTCGATGTAACAAACTTCTATGTAACGAAACCCCCGATGTAACGAAGTATATAACTTTTTCTAACCGCAAGTGTATGCACACCATGTATTTTTGACCTCTATGTAACGAAGTACCGTTCGCCGAAATTTTGACGTAACGAAGTTTCATGGACAATTCGTCACAAACTTTTGGGTCGCAAAGGAGATTTTGGAAAGCACATGCGCTGAAACGGGCCCCCGATAAAACGCAAAAGGTGAAACGGGCCGAATCGGGCGAATGTGGTGTACAGAACGGCCACTAGAGGACACTAGAGCCGCCGCCGTTTGGGCCGTCGGCTCCGTTCGCGCTGAAGAGTTCTTTTCGAGGCCTAACTAAAATGTGCGTTTCTTGTTGTCCTGGGTGATGGAGCTTTAACTTTGAAGGCGATAGAGCCGTCCCCGACGACGTCGACCTCGACAACTTTCTATAAGCCGACGCTGCTGTCATTTCAATGGAGGAAATGACCAACGAGGTGATGGCTAGCAATGTTCCTGGCAAGTCTGAAGACGGGGACGACTTCGAGCCTGATGAGCAAGACACCTGCGATGTGAACAGTAACGGTGAAGTGGTGGACGCGATCGATGTCTTGAGGCGGTTCACAAGCACACAGCAAGAGGAAGACGCGATGCAGGTCGTCTGGCTAGGCGAACGTCGCGTGTTGCCAATAATAATGCCAAGAGTGGCCCAGATAAAGCTGACGGACCACTTTCAACCGAAATAAAGGTGTCCTCGGTGAGTTGTGTGCACCCGAGAAACATTTGTGGCAACTTTCTTCAACGTTAACTCCGAATTTCTATGTAGCGAAATTTCAATGTAACGAAGTAAATTCCGAATTTTACCGGCTTCGTTACATCGAGGTTTGACTGTATATGAAACCCTTTTTTTTTGTGGTACTAAACGCTGCGAATACGTTGATTGAAAAAAAAAGTTGCACAGACAACCGGAAGCATTCTGTGCGTTCACTGCATAATTCTCAACATGGCATCGTTTCGCATATCGTGGGACTAGCGGATGGCAGTGGACGACGGGCGTGGGACCTCTACTTCAGAACTGTCGTTCACGGTACTAGCGAAATCTGTCTTCCTTCAAAAGAGAAATTTTGGATCGATCAAAAGAATTGATATTCCTCCCATACGACACGCCCGACCACCAAGCCGACTGCATAAAGATGTTGCCGAGCCGTCGTCCCCTCTCGTGGCTGAAGACATTGCTCGCTCAAACGTTAAGCACGAAGTGCATACTTTGAGTTGAATACGCACACGTACGGTTTCTTTACTAGGTGCGAATGTGGCCAATGCGTGGTGCTGCCCGACTTCAAGCCGGGAGTGCATGTACTGGAGGAAAATTGGCAGCAAACATTCCGACATAGTCAACTGGCTGCATTACTACGAATGAGAGTTCCTTCAGTTGCTTAGTGGAAAGACGTCCGCTTCACACTGTGGGGATTCCTGTGGTCTTCCTTCCCCGATGGCTGTAATAACGGCCGCGGGTCGGAACACTCGGCCTCCTTCGCTGTGAGCTCCGAGCTGTTTGTGAGGCGGAGGGTCCCCTGTCTTGGTGGGGCCCTCCTCTCACTCTCTCACGGGGGGACCGATTTCCGTTCCCCCGCTCGGATGCGGATCACTGCTGACAGGCGAGGAGGTTTTGCCTCTTGTTTTCCCGCTTTCGGGAAAGGGACTCGTCCGGCGACCGCGAAAGAGATACGACGTGTGTGGCCGATGCTTCCCCGGTCTTGGCTCTCTGGAACCCCGCGTCTGGCAGGTAAGAACCTTTTCTGACCTCGCCGACGCGGGGGGCATTTTGGATGGGGACATTGTAGTTCATTTAGAAGAGTATGTTAATAAATGCTCTCGGACTTTTTCCTTGCTCTGGTACGTGTGTCCTCTCTTCCGCTATATTTGAGAGAGTGAGACAAGGTAGACGATCATTGGCACCGACAGATGTGATTTATCAAACCGACCCGCGGTAATGTAGCCCTAAACGTCGTCTATATCGCCGCGGATATGTGGGGACCGCGCTACTAGGTTTGGCGTCTCCTTTGAGATCGCCGCCGCTGTTGAGACAACCCTTTGTTTACTCTATCGGTACCTGTTAGTATCTAGCAACATCCCACAGCACGCAGCGGGCACGGGTTCAATCCCTTATGCGGGCATACCATTTTTTTTTCTTGTCAAATATTTTGCGATGTTTACATTTCTTTCTTTACAATTATCACTGAAAAAAACAAGTTTTTGTCGACAATACGTCGCTGAACTAAATGGTATGGGATTCTATTTTTGACACCTGCAAACTCAATGTAGTCACTTTCCACAAAATGCAAGGAGTGTATGAATCGGGTAGCGTCCGTTTTCTGAGGTTCCCGTAACTGTTCTACAGGAATTGCAGCCAGCCATTGATCCCGACCCGCTCATGTCTCGGAAACTTGCGCACTGTGCCGCACAATGCCACTTTCAGATGCAGGACATGTGAGGCAGCTCTTCACACAACATCTTGGGAGTATTCTTTTCGGAACCGATCACAGGAATTCACTACCGGCACTCACTACTAATTGCCAACACTTAAATGTACAAAACAACTCAACTTGAAGCACAGAACACCGAGCGGAACAAACATAACTGCAAAGGAATCGCACAGCAAACAAATCCCGCAACACATTTCATCTACTGCATGAAAAAAAAACAATTACACGGTCGGGTGTAACCACGAGACTGCCGCCACTCACTCTCTCCTCTCCACTTCTCCGACATCCGTGCGCAGTTTCGGTTTCGAGCAGCTGCGTTTTTCGGCTTTATTAAAAAAATATGTGACGCTGTAGCAAAATATTAATTGGGTAATATTCCGACACCCATAATAAATCGCCTAACAAAAAATGAAAAAAGAAAAAGATTTGTGGGTGTCAGTGTCCTTTTAAACAATTGCTCTACATTGAGAAGAGTTTCACAAAGGCACAACTTGAAACCAGAAAAGATTGGGATTGGTAAAGAAGGCTGCCGCTAGCAATCAAATCCATGATTCGGTCAAAAGGAACTAGGTGATTCCCTCCCAGCGGCAGAGCCAGGTCAAATGGGATGTGGTGCTGGAGAAATGCGGTGAATGGACGCAACACTTTGGGCTCAAGGCCAGTGCGGGACCACAAGGTATGCGGGACAGTAAGAGTAGAGCCATGCTCACCAGAGAGCGGGTCTTCCTCCCAAAGCAGGCACTTACGAGGGATAAAAGAGTGCCCAGTTCTCAAACGGTGCAACAAACTTTCATACAGTCGGTACTGCATAAAGAGTTTCCCCAGATTTCAAGGGTGGGTTTAGTCAGATTAAGCTTGTTTTCAGACCCCATGTCCCGCACCAACTGCCAACAACGAAAAAACAATGACTTCAGTAAAGGCTCAATATCCAAATGCAGTTGAATTTCGGATATATCAAAAACACGCTACTGTTCCAACAACGGGCACTCCCTGCCCTCCCTGCATGTGCGGGTGTCCTTCCCCTTCCTTTTGCCATCCTCCACTTTTACGTGATCTA